ACACATATTTAACAAGTAATTCATAGAAAAGTAAACCCAAATGACAAAATAATTTAGCCTCACTAAAAATCAAGGTCATGCAAATTAGGATGAAATGCCATTTCACATAGACATTAAAATATGAAAATAATAATATTATAATTTGAAGAAACTAGAATATTCAGATACAATTATGATTGCAGCTTTTTGGGAAAGCAATTTGGTAGGCTCTCATACAACTTAAACACTTATATGAACAAAGTCTTGCTCAAAGATGTTTATGGAAGTTTTATAGTTTCAAACAACATAAGTCAATTCATTTGATTTCATTTATGAGGAGGAATGAATCAGATCTATAAGGAAGAAAATAGAAGAGTAGAGTCTCATTTCAAATCCTGGCAGTATTTCTCAGAAAATATGAACTTGAATCTCTTTGTGCTTTGGTCCTTTCTGAGCTTTTGATTTTCTGAGTCTATTCTTTAAAATGGGCATGTTGCAAGTGGTTATAGAGAGAATTTGAAGACATACAGTGAGTTAAAAAACAGTTCCCAGAGAAATGTGGAATATGATACCATTTATTGAAGTTTATTCCCTCTCTTGCTCTGTAAATATGTATAGCCCACAGTTGACCTTTATCATTTAAATGTGGATATTATGTATCCTATAATGTATTATTAATTTTATCTTTTGGAGACTTTTTTGGGAGAGAAATTGCATGCATTTATCTTTTTCCATTAAAATTTATCCAGGCTAATGAATATAGCTATAATTCATTGACAATTTTTAATTACCATATGTTATTACTTTAAATGAATATATTGTGATTTATTTATCTATTCTAATGTTGATGTACATAGGGGTTATTTCTGAATTTGTTTTATTTTTGTCTTTGTTATTATGAACAAGACTGCTATGAATATGTGAGTACATATTATCTAGTACATAAGTACACAAATTACCTTAAAGTGGAAGTAATGAGGTAGTTCTTTTTCAGGTGTTTTTTTTAACCAATCTTGGCTTTTGCTTTTCTGTATAAAGTTTAGTATCAGATTGTTAAATTACACAAAATAAAACTTGATGAATTGTTACTGCAACTACATTTTTTAAAAAATATTTTTTAGTTGTAGATGAACACAATACCTTTGTTTTATTTATTTATTTTTATGTGGTGCTGAGGAGGGTACCCAGTGTCTCACATGTGCCAGGGAAGGGCTCTACCACTGAG